CCAAGGCCAGGGCCGGTTCCCCAGGGGCGGCAGGAACTGATGGGCCATCCGGGGTCTGGGCCCATGGCCGGCGGGGATTGTTGGGGCCCCAGTATTCGGAGGGTCAGCCTTCTCGGGGCTGCGTTGTGCTGAGGTAAATGACCTGTGTGAATGGGCAGTGGTGCAGGGCAACAGGGGACATGGGGGCAGGTGGGGAGATGGCGGGAGGAGGAGAGTGACGAGCAGGCCCAGAGGTGAGGGCTGTGCAAGCTTTGGGAGATCACAGTGTTGCCGAGGTGAAGCCCAGGACCCCAGATGCCAGCTCTCTCTAGTTTATGAGCTGGGTATACCCTGGGAAGGTGCGGTTGTCTCCCCTACTGGAGAGACAGCTCCTAGAGGCTGTTTGGGGGCCCCGTCGGCTCTCTGTGCTCTGTGGGCACTGGATGTACTCATGGAGTGTCTGGAGTCAGCTGACCTGGACCCAGATCCTGCCCTGCCACAAGGTACCGCCTTGGGCAGCTCGTTCTCCTCTCTGAGACTAGTTTTCACGGTAGGAGGGTCTCACAAGGGCTGCTGGGTTCAATTACTGCTGTTACTTCTACCACACGTGTGCACCGCACTGGCCCCATTTTCTGGGCACTTGCAGAGTCATGACATCATAGGCAAGAAAATTCCCCTAGTGTCTCTGCCAGAGACGGCCAGCCACAGCTGCCTGGGGCATCTGCGGTGGATGCTGGGGGCTGGCCCTGAGCTGTGCCCCTACCTGGGCTCCGCCTATGCCCCTTTCCCCGTAAGCCTCCCAAGGGAACCCCGCCACCACGACCTCGACTTCTCTCACCGCATCCTGGCTGAGGTCCCACCGACCTTGTGGACCGCGAGACGGCAGCGCCCCCTGGCGGCGGCAGCCATGGATTTACACAGGTTTATCGCTGAAAATTGTTGCCATCTGTTTCCCGGGCACCTATTATTGACACGTGTGGTTTTGTACGCTCCTCCTCCTCCTCCTCCTCCTCCTCCTCCTCCTCCTCCTCCTCCTCCTCCTCCTCCTCCTCCTCCTCCTCCTCCTCTTCCTCTTCTCCTTCCTTTTCCTCTTCCTCTCTTCCTTCGCCTCCTCCTCCTCCTCCTTCTTCCTATTTCCATTTTCTTTTGCTAAACCATTAGCAAGTTCGTTGCAGACATTTTGAATTTTTACCCCTAAATATTTCAGCAGGTTCTTCTACAACAAGGATACCTCTTAGATAAGCAGGTTATAAGATTCAGGCTTTCAACACTGATAGGACAGAATCAGATACAAAGTACGTATTCAAATGTCATCAGCAATCTCAATATTCTCCTTCATAGCCCCACCCAGATTCAGAATCCAATGCAGACATTGCATTCAGCCACCATGTCTCATTAGTCTCCCTATTCTGGAACATTCCACAACTCTTCTTTGTCTTTCATGCAAAGAGTCCAGGCCAGTTGTTTTATAGAAAGTCCCTCAGTTTGGGTTTATCTGACGTATCCTCATGATTTGATTCAGATTATGGAGTTTTGTTAGAAAGACCACGGATGTGGCAGGATATCCTTCTCAGCACAGTAGACTGTTTTTCTTTTATAGATGGGTAGCCTGTGGGCCAGAGAGGGGAAGAGAACTGGGGATATGGTGAAGCTCAAATATCATCTGTGCGTTTAGTTGCTGTGTGACCTCGGGTGGGTGACTGCACCTCTCTGAGCTGCAGTGTCCCCATCTGTAACATGGGGTGATGATGGGTGACTGGGAGTAGGGGGGCAGTGATATGCAATACCATGGGTTCCCTATTCCCTTCCACTGACCCAGGATTGGCAGGAAGTGAAGAAGAAGAATTCAGGCTCCCTTCAGCTGTCCCCCCCAGACCCTGGAAACAGAGCAGGGGCTGGACCTACATCTCCTCCAGAGTCCATAGTTATCAATGAGATGAGCAGGCAGCCAGGAGGGGAAAACCCAGGCCAGAGACCCAGAATTTTCCCCACACTCAGCAGGCCTAGCAGGCCTGAACCCTCGCACCCGACTCCACCCCACCTGTAGGCTTCCAGGCTCACTGGGTGAAATGCTGTGGGTCAGACCGGGGTTGTCCTGGCAGGTCTCTCTTCCTAGAGAGGCTCCCAGGAGCTCCCCGCTCTCCTTGAGAAGAATGGGATCCTGCTGGAGGGAGGAGGCTGGGTGTGGGTGGGTGAAGAGAGGGTCCTCAAGGCCTGGGGCTCTGGATTAAATGAGAAAGGAGGCACACAAGTGCCATGTGACTAGTGTTGCACAAACGTCACGTTATATTTGTTATTTCCCATGTACCTGGCGACGTTTCAGATGTGCAAAAAAAAGAAACAAGGAAAATGTAATCGATGCTCCGTGTGTCCACTGTCCTGCCACGCTGGCCTCCTCCTGCTCTCTGACCACAAAGGAAATATTTCTTAGTTCTCACTGTTCCCTTGGCTGGACAAGAGAGTAGGGAAGCCCTGAGGCCAGCCAGGCCTCTCCCCCTGTGGCTTCTGCTCCCCCCGCCGCCCCAATCCAAGAAAGCCCTTTCATCCTCATCCATCAGGCCAGATGGCAGGCACCATCTGGGAGGCTGCAGATACAGAGGTGGGACACAGCTCCCTCCTTCCCTCTCCCCTCTCCCTCCCGCCTCCCTTCCTGAAGTCTAGAAACCTGGTTTCTGCCCTGCTTTCATTCTACCAGGACAAAGTTCCTCCCCCAGGATGTCAGCAGAGAATTTCCTCTCTTGGGCCCCCTCTAACAAAGGGGCTTAACTTTCAAAGAGCCCTGGAAACCTATGGGGAACTTGTTAAAAATGTGTGTTCCAGAAAAAAGCGAGTCTTGACCTCTACTTCACACCATGCGCCAAAATGAAACCTATGTATGGCAGGTTAAGCGATAGCATCTAGTGGATAATGTGGGAGAGCATCTGTATGACAGCGGGCTGGCAAGTATTTCTTACATAGGACATTAACCGTGAAAGAAAAGACTGATAAATTGTTCCTCATTAAAACTAAGAACTTCTGGGGGCGGTGACTCGATCTCAGAGTTGTGAGTTTGAGCCCCACTCTGGGTGTAGAGATTACTTAAAATTTTTTTAATGTTTATTTATTTTTGGGAGAGAGAGCGAGAGAGAGCACGCATGAGCAGGGGAGGGGCAGAGAGAGAGGAGACAGAGGATCCAAAGCAGGTTCTGCACTGACAGCAGAGAGCCTGATGTGGGGCTCGAACTCATGAACCATGAGATCATGACCTGAGCCGAAGTCAGATGCTTAACCCACTGAGCCACCCAGTGCCCTGGGTGTAGAGATTACTTAAAAATAAAAATCTTAAAAAGATCAAAAAACAAAACTAAGAACTTTTGTTCATCAAAACTCTCCCTTAAGAAATTGAAAGGCAAGCCATAGAATTGGGAGAAGATATTTCCCAATACCAAAGGGCCTGTATTCAGAGTATATAAAGATTTCCCACCCATCAGTGAGAAAGGTCAGACAATCTAATTTTTTTTTTAATTTTTTTAACGTTTATTTATTTTTGAGACAGAGAGAGACAGAGCATGAATGGGGGAGGGTCAGAGAGAGAGGGAGACACAGAATCTGAAACAGGCTCCGGGCTCTGAGCGGTCAGCACAGAGCCCGACGTGGGGCTCGAACTCACGGACCGTGAGATCATGACCTGAGCCGAAGTCGGACGCTTAACCGACTGAGCCACCCAGGCGCCCGACAATCTAATTTTTTAATGTTTATTTATTTTTGAGAGGAGAGAGAGAGAGTGCGAGGAGAGAGGGGCAGAGTGAAGGAGAGAGAATCCCAAGTAAGCTCCACACTGTCAGTGCAGAGCCCCATGTGGGGCTCGAACTCAAGAACCTCGAGATCATGACCTGAGCCGAAATCAAGAGTCGGACGCTTAACCGACCAAGCCACCCTGGTGGCCCAACGGTAATACCAAATGTTGACAAGAATGTAGAGTGACTGCAACACTTCTAAACTATAGTGAAGTGTCGGTCCAGTTTGGGAAACCGTATGAAGAGTCTATCAAGGCTGAGCATACATTACAACCCAGCAATTCTGCCCCCTACGTATATATCCAATAGAAATGCATACATTTGTGCACCAAGATACATGTATAGGAATGCTCCTCGTGGAATTTTTCATAACAATCAAAAGTGGAAACAACCCCAAGGGCCATCAAGAATAGAATGGATCAGTACATTGTGCGTGTAGTACTACAGAGCAATGAACCTGAATGAATGGCCGCCATCTGCAACAATGTGGGTGAGTCTCACAATATGATGTTGAGTTAAAGAAGCCAGTTGCAAGAGAACAGAAATGATTCTATCCTACGTCAAGCTCCAAAGGTGACCAAACAAATCAATGGCGTAGGAGCTGGGTTAGCGGGCACCTTTTGTGTGTAGTGCATGGGAGAGGCCTGAGGGAGGGTGCTGGGTGTTGCCCATGTCCTGTGGCTTGATCTGGGTGCTGACTGCAAGACGTGTGCACACTGTAAAAATTCAGTGGGTATGCATCTGAGGTCTGTGCACGTTTCTGTGTAAGCGTGTGAGACTTCAAAAAACAAATTTCCTAGAAATCTGTATTGCTGGGTCCATGCCAGAGGCCAGGTAGGAGGCAACTGAATTAATTAATGCTGGGGAGAGCGGATGGGGACTGGGACCAGGTGGAGGAGGTGAGGACATTGGTCCAAAGAGGCAGAGAGAGAGAGAGAGAGAGAGGGAGAGAGTTTGCTGCTGGGTTGAATGTGAGCATGAGAAGAGCGAGTCAGGGGAGACCCCAGGTTTGGGGCTGAGTTATGGAAGGCTGGAGTTGCCATCACCTGCCCCCCCAGCTGGGGTGCATTTGAGGCAGATGTGAAATCGGTTATTTCTGTCCCGATTGCCTTCTAAAACCTGAGGCTGTGTCTCAGGCCTGGCCTTGACAATGAGTGGAGACCAGGCCTCCTGGGACCTGAGGGGCAGGAGAGAGGATGCGTGTCTGGGACCGGCCCGGTCTCACCAATTTATCCCGTCCTCCAGGATCGAGTTCCGAGGGACGTCTATGCTGGAGACCCTGGCCACCATCACAAAACTGCCGGTAGGTGCTGTTACTGCTGCCCCGTGGGTGAGTGGGGGTGCTGGGGACAAGGGGGGATTTTTGTCCTCAAGTTATAAAATTCCAGGGGGAATTGGCGAGTGGCAAGATGGGAGCCCACATTGCCCTGTTGGCTATAGGTTCCTGAAGGCCAGCCCTCTGAGTTTTTGTTTTTAGTTACTAGCTGCCCCTTATGCACTTATACAATGCATGCACTGGCCTGAGACCTTCACATGCATTGCATGACCTCATAAGATCCCCACAAGCATCCTTTATCATTCCTACTTTGCAGACGAGGCTGTTAGGGGTGCTATAAGATAAGGTAACTGGCCCAAGGTCGCAGAGCTGGGGAATGGTGGAGCTGGCCGGGGCTGGAGCCCAGGGTTCCGTGACCCCAGAGCCTGGGCTCTCGACACCCCCTGGCCGCCCCTCATTTCTGGGCCTAGAAGCCCTTTGTGGTCCTCATGTTTTTCAGCCCAGAATGTGTGTTTATCCCCCGGGCCCCCTGAACTGTAGATCTCTCTGGAACCAGGCTCCCTGCTCAGAGCACATTTCTGGAAGGCTCCCCCTCCCTCAGCACAGTGATCGGCTCTGAGTAGATCATCAGCCTGCCCATCCCCACTCTGCGGGTGATGCTTAGGCCCAAAGACTCGAGCCAGCAGAACAGGGTCGGGAGGCACCGCCAGGCGCTGTGGTTGTTATCGCAAGTTCCCAAGGCACATCCAGGGGCCTTCGTGGGGCGGGGCGTGAGATAGAGCTGAACTATGGTCTCTGACCTCTGGTGGCAGAGTCTTGAGGGGGGAAGATATGAGTTCTGGCAGCGGAGGCTGTGAGGGCTGTACGTGCCTGGTTCACGAGAACTGCCTCATGCTCAGAGGCCCACAGGCCACTGGCAGTGGGGGTGAGTGACCTTCAGGATGGGTGGGGGGCCACCTGCCCATCCTCTAAGCCTCCCAGCATTGCTGTCTGGAGGGTGGCGACAGGCCACGATGCACAAAGTCACGGAGGGTAAGTGGCCCGAGCCGGGCGGGAACCTCAGTCCGTCCGTCCGGAGACCTGCACGCAGCCTCTTTTCTCCGCCGTGAGGACAGGCCGAGCCCTGCGCCACCAAAGGACCGTGAAAAGCATTTGGGGAAAGAATTTGATATTTTCGGTTTCCAAAAATGATTCAGAGTAGTCACGGTGGGGAAAAGAAATAGACGTTTATTGGATTTTCTCACTTTTATGTTGTGGTTTAGTATGGGTTTTGAGGTACGTGTATCAGGTGGGTGCCTGTGCTAGATCTTGGGACTCCAGTGCCTAACTGGCCAGCCCCACCCCCATATACCTGCCCGTCCCCCCCATCCCTTCGCCGCTCTCTTACCTGCCCACCCCTCCCCCTTCTGTTTCCTCCACCCCCTTCCCCAGTCCTTCTGCCACCCCCACCCCCCCCATCCATGTCCCCGTCTACCTCAGTCCGCCAGAACAGAACATCACGGACCGGGGGGCTTCAACAACAGACGGGTGTTTCCTCACTGTTCTGGAGGTTAGAAAGTCCAAGGCCAGGTTTCCAGCAAGGTTTGGTTTCTGGTGAGAAGTCTCTTCTTGGCTTGCAGACAGCCCCCTTGTCATGCCTGGAGGACAGAGAGAGAGAGAGAGAGAGAGAGAGAGAGAGAGGAGAGATCTATCTTTCTTCTTTCCTTATAAGGCCACCAATCCTATCAGATCAGGGCTCCACCATTATAATCTCATTTTTCTTTTGTTTTTTAGTGTTCATTTATTTTTGAAAGAAAGAGAGGGTGTGAGCGGAGGAGGGGCAGAGAAAAGGGGGACAGAGGATCCGAAGCGGGCTCTCCATGCTGACAGCAGAGAGCCTGAAGCGGGGCTCGAACCTGTGAACCGCAGGATTGTGACCCGACCCTTAAGGCAGACGCTTAACCGATTGAGCGCCCCCACTTCTGACCTCATTTAACCTTAATGACCTCCTAAAGACTCTCTCTCTCCGAATAAGGATCCATCAACGCATGGATTTGGCGGGGGGGGGGCGGGGGGACACAATCAGGCCACAGAGCCACCCTGCTCCTCCCACCCCCTTTCATCTGCTCTGCTTTTTGTCCCCCTGACAATTGTTTATTGCTCCTTGTTGTTGTCGTGATGTCACTTGTCCCCTTTCCGGCCTCTTTCCTTTGGCTTTTCTACCAGAACTGCTGTGCTTGGTGTCCTCTGAACGCACTGTGTGCTTTCAAGTCTCTGGGTCTTCTGTCTGCACCTGTTGCACCGCCCCCTTCCCCTCCCCCTGCTGCAGTCCTGACACCCCTTCCTCCATGAAGCCTTCCCTCACTGGCCCGGTGCTGTGTGGCCGCTCACACGCTGCTTCTCCCCGGGGACAACTGCAGTCAGGGTGGCCCACAGGGCTCTGTGACTTTCCATAGGATCCATGATGCCAGCTGTAGGAAGAAAGACACTTCCTTCCCATGCCCTCCAGCTGCCCTCACCCCTGCCTTGCTGGTGAAGTGGGTGGAGGCAGAGTGATGTCTGGGTCCCCGGCTCCCTCCACTTCGATGCTGTGACTTGTGAAGAAGGGGACTCCCCTCCCCCTATGTTCCCTCTCCATGGCCCAGCGACTGGGGGTTGGTGAGCACCTAATGCCGAGGTGTGGTGGGCGGGGCATTTTGCTGGAGTTTTATTGACTCTGTGCTTCCGGCAAGCAAGAGGAAAAAAGAAAAACCCACAAAAACCCCTGCCTGGGTCTCTGGGGGAAATTTCTGACATTTCGCCTGCCCTCTGCAATCAGCGCTTAGCTCAGCTGTGTGGCAAGGTTGGCCGGGGGTGAGTTGCTGGAGGAAGGAAACTGGGAGACCTTTTGAGATTGAGAAATTTAGATGTCACTGAATCTCTCCTCTTGCCCAGCCTGTAAATGCTCTTTGTAGCATTCTCGACAGCTGATCCCCAGCCCTCTGCTTACACACCCCCAGTGACGGGGAGCTCACTCACTGATTCATAACCAGGACAACCATTACCGATGATGGAGTGTGCTCTATGCCAGCCACAGGGCTAGCCCTTTACCTACATTAGCTCCCCGAAACCCTGATAGGAAGCCCAGAGAGGAAACTTGGACTTGATGAGGTTCAGAGATTTGCCTACAGTCCCATGCTAGTAAGGAGGCAGCAGGGGCTCCAGTGTGGCCGGCTAACTCAGACACCTGAGCTCTTCCCCCTTAGCTGGTGTTGACCCCCAAGACAGAGCAGATCAGTGAAGGAGACAGCAGAGTCTATCAGCAAAGACCCCATGTGGGGGCTACAAACCCCTTCCTATTCTAGACCCTACTTCCTGGATCAATCTGCCCTTGGTGCCCGGACTCCCTTCCCAGAGGAAGGGATCTCCCCTGCAGACGTACGAGTCCTGCCCAGGTGTGGGGGTACAAGGGAAGCCAGGCCTGGTGTTAGGCAGAGAGCATGGCTTGCTTGGGGCCTGGCAAGTATATCCCATCTTGTCCCAGGAGCGGAGGGTCTCTCCGAGGGCGGTGAGCAGCGGGGAGTGGGAGGAGGCCTCCCTGGCCCTCTGGCCCTTGGCCGAGCTTGGCGGGCCTTTAGTCCCCTCCCTGGTCTGTTCTCCCTCAGTCACCTGAAGGGACGCTTGGCAAACATCTTTCAGCCTCAATTCCAGAGCCCACGAAGGAAGGGTCTGATGGTGCAGATAAGTCCGGATGTCCACCTCTGCTCTGGTCCCCCCAGGCCAGGACTGCTCTAGACGACAGCTCAGGGGAGAGGTGGGCCGGGGGCAGTTCTCTGAGAAGGGTGGTAAGCCCTTGCAAAATGTGTCTACTGCAGCAGGCTGTTAGAACCCGGGATGGTGATGGGGTGCCTGGGTGGCTCAGTTAGTTAAGTGTCTCACTCTTGATTTTGGCTCAGGGCATGATCTCACTATTCATGAGTTCAAGTCCCGTGTCGGGCTCTGCACTAACAGCATGGAGACTGCTTGGGATTCTCTGCCTCTCTCTCTCTCTCTCTCTCTCTCTCTCTCTCTCAAAAATAAATAAAAATTTAAAAAAAAACATTAAAAAAAAGGAACCTGGGATGGTGTTGCTGGGAGCCATGGGAACTCACTCCCGGGGCACCTGACCTGATCAGAGCATTCAGGGGGTCTTCCTGGAAGAGGTGGCATCTAAAGGAGTCCTGGGGATGAGCAGGGATAGGCCAGGCCAAGGCGGGGACGGGGTGTGCTCTGGGCAGAGGCACAGAATGTGCAAAGGTCTGGAGGGGAGTAGGATGGGTTGCTGAAGAATGGGGAAGTTTACATTTGGCTGCAGCCCAAGCCTGGGGTGTGCAGGGGAAGCCTGGGAGGGCAGGTGGAGGAGCTGGTGGCCCAGACTCAGCATGGAGCAGTTTTCAGCGTGGGAGTTTTTGGCGCGAGAGCAGCTGGGGCGGGTTGCCTGATGCTGAGCCAGAGGTGAGAGGCGGTGTGAGAATGTTAGCACAAACTTTGAGAACATCTGGAGTCAGCGACGGGCCCTGAGCCAGAGGGGATGTGGCTGGAGGCAGATCAGGGAAAAGGGATACGTGGGGACCAATTCTGGCATCACCACCACAGCTTTGGAGCCTTTCTCAACCTTTTTTCTCCCTTTCTTGCTTCCTTCTTTCCTTCCTTCCTTCCTTCCCTCCTTCCTTTTCTTGCTTCCTTTTCTTTCTTTCTTTCTTTCTTTCTTTCTTTCTTTCTTTCTTTCTTT